CCAATTTGTATTCCCAATTTTTTAACGAGAGTAGACATATTGTGGTCCTTCGACCACGTTAGACAAGCACTTGATTACTAATTGAGGATAAAAAACTCAAACTGAAAGGCATGACTTACTTTGGACACTATTACTCATCTTGAGCTTCCAAGATATCTTCAATGCATTCCTCGGATAATTCATTAGCATACAACTAAACTTGTTCCCACGAGGATGACAAAATTTTGTCTGCATTGGCTTAACATCAACACACCACACAATAAAATCAAATTGTCGAGGAGCTTGTGCATGTAGATGACTTTCCTCTACATCTCATTTGCATTAGCCGAGGATAATGGATACTATTCATGTCGCATTTGGTGACCTCTACTGTATTATTATTGTAGACTCCTCAATATTTTTCGCTCGCTCTTTTTTTCACATGTTTATTTACCACCTTGATAGCTTTTGATTAGGATATCAGACATATCTTTGATGACATTCTAGGATAAATGACTTTTGAATGCGTGACATGAAAATAGGAAAAAAACAAAATATTTTTTGCCACTTTGTCTTCGCGGACCCCAGGCCTCCACACGGTGGCAGAACGTTCGGAAAATCCTCAATTTCGAATCAGCTGATGGATGTCTATATTAATATTGTCAATACAGAAAATTTTTAAAATAATTTTTTTGGCTAGTGAGATACTATAGTCAACTTTCTCACATTTGAATATGTGATCATCATAAGTGCATCCTCTAAATACATGTGAAATGTGAAAAAAATATCGATAGTACATTTTTCATGAAGATTTCAGAGCTATGATATAAATGTGTCTTTTCCTCGTTCAACAATTAGACTATAAGTCTAATATCATTTTCCGTGGAAAATATATTATTAATGTAGTCAACATTTTCTCTTATTGGATTCAAAATTGCTTAGATACATTTTCTCTTATATTTTGGCTTATTCAAGCATTGATGCCTTTGACCTTTGTTTACAATAATAATTTTTGGTTTTTATTTGTTTCATCAATTTGTTTCTATATCCATTTGTATGATATGATAATTATTTAGATTCAATATATTTTATTTGACCTTATGTTTATTCTTATGACAAAGTTCAGGTATCCATGATGTCATTAGTACTTTGTGTCTTGTATGAAATTCAAATATCTGTATCTAGAATGAAAGTTGATATCTTGACGTTAATTTGGATAAAAATATCCATATATCCATATAATAAGGATGATGTTTATTGTTTTACGTATGTTGTTCTTGTGAATGAATGATGTACTCAACAGTCTTCTTTGGTAGATGACAAGAGAATTTCTAAAACTTAAAGGTTTCAGGTATATAATTATGGAGTGAATTCGGTATCCATTTTTATAGGTTTACAATTTTTTAGCTATAAGATGTGTAAAAATTCGAACATATCACATATAATAAGTCAATAGAAAAAACATGTATTTCTATTTGTTATTAAATGTGATAAATTTTGAGCTTTGAAAATGTTGTGAACATTTTTTTCACTTGTGAACTCAATTACAAATCACAAACAAAAGCAAATTTTGCATGATACAATTATAAGAAATTCTTTGATCATTATGAAGAAAAGTATGCTAATATAGGAATAGTATTGTGTGAAATGAAAACAAATTTTGAAAGAGCTAACTATCATGTGGTAAAGATAAAGTGAAAAATTGAAAAATCATCGGTTTTCTACATTGCTTATATAAATCTAATTATAAATATATGAATGCATATATATCCGGCACTTCTTCACTCCATGGATATAGAGAATGGTAGATAGACTTCATCAAGCTAACAATGAATAAAATCAGCAGAAAATCGAGACTAAATTCCGAAAGTAACATGATGAGATCTATTTTCTACAACCTTAATCACATCCAGACTGTCAGTAATAAATGATTTATATGTATATCAATAAGTTGATAACAGATTCATTGCATTTTTGTTTATAGCGTTGGCCAGTTAGAAATTTAAGAATACCTTTCTTTATTTAAGATACACAATAACCTTGAGAGGATAATACATCTGGAAATGTAGTGTAAAAAGTGATTGCACATGTATTCAAAATCTGTATATATTAATGTTAAAGCTAAGAATGTAGGCAATGTAGAGCTTAATCAACACTATTCTTCCAACCATGTCGCTACGTTATATGCTTCATGAACAAATTCGTAAACACAGCTAAGCAAGGATGTAAGTCACATCATTGAGACATGTTAGAAGTTCGTACCATGCCCGTCCGGGAGTATCAACTTCTTAACCTCTCCAGGTAATATTCATATATCTATGCTTAGGAAAGAAGAGTCTTAGATGTACTTTTGGCACAGATTTTTTCGGGTTACGTATATATCTAAAGTGACGGATGACAGAGAAGACGAACCAGCTTTTAAATTCTATTCTGAAGTATTTCCTTCCATGTCAGGAACAAGTTCTTGTGGTTACGAAATACATTCCTATAACTTTGAGAATAACATTCATACTCCAAAATTTCCGAATTTTTATTTGTTGACAATTTTCCTGCTACAATAACCGGTATGTAGCTAATAAGGTAAAGTAGTCTTAAAAAAATTGGAGTCTTAGAAGGATTTAATTTTGTTCTATTGCAGATTTGTATGCTCTATCTAAACTTGGGAGGTTTTACTTTGAGATTGAGCATATTCATTCAAGTCAGGCCTAATCGCGTTTCAGTCTTATATGATAATTATAGAATAATTATACTTCTGTTTGTGGAGTTTATGATATTAATTTTTTAGCGTACTTTGGTATTTTGTAAGGCAATCAAAATGAAAAAATATATAATTATTTTTGAAACCGAGAGTAGGCTCGGATTTAAGCGATTATATTATGTGAAAACCTCACTCCTTTATAAGGGTCAAACCCCGCTGAGAGTTTTCGGAATATTCATCAAATCTATGATCTCATACTTAGCACATATCAAATTGGTAATTTATAATGACATCAACTAATGAATTAAAATCCACTTATTTTTTCACTTTCATGCTACAGTTTCATCCTTGTTTACAATTGAATGTTTTGCTATTAGTCGTTGGATCATTCCGTCTCTAAGTATATCCTAGACTGCATTGCTGAATGCCACAAACGTAGAATATATATCTCACCTCATACCTCGAGCTGGAAAAAATATGAGTGTAACAAGACATGCAAGAATAAGCGTATTCACAAGGGCTCTCTTTCTACATATTAATAGAATTACACCCGAAATTCATTATAATATGTTATTACTGTAGTGAGTGTGGAAGATGATAATTGTAGCGAAATTAAAGGCCAAAAGCTTAAAAAGAATACATGTCCAAAGTACTGAATGACCACGTCGTATCAGACAGCGACTACGTACATCGGAGGCGGTAGGAGGAGGTATGATTGTACAGGAGCGATTACCGGTATCATTACCGAGAAGGCGAATAGAAAATCAGCTAAATTTAGGGGCGCGTATCCAAGACAATGAAGTGGAATCCGCTTATCCGGAAAAGGCCGAAGGGAGAAAGCCAACGAGGACCATGGTTGTACGGTCGGGCACATGGCCGTCAGGGCGAGAGCGCCGGACAGAAGCGAAATGAGCAGCCATGCTGGAGCGTCATCCGTATGGCGTCGTCCGTCCGGCACGACGGCCTACCGGACCGGGGCCCCGACCTGACCGGCGGTGACCACTGTCTCGGATTCGAACCCGGAACCCGAGTCGTCCTCCGCCCGTGCAGCCAATTGCGGGTCCGAAGTCTCTCCTCCAGCTTCTCCGCTGGAGGAGGCGAGGCGACGACGACGGGGGGATGCCGCGGGGGCAGCAGGAGCAGGCGGAGCACTGCAGCAGGGGCAGCAGCAGCGAGAGCGTGAGCATTAGGGTTAAGGGGGGGTTCGGAGTTGGGTCAAGGGGCACTATTGGGGCTCGCGGATAATTAAGCCTGATGATTTCCATTTAATAAAGGCCGATATCGGATTAAAGGTTAATCTTGCGTGGGGTTCGAGGGGTTATGATTCGACGCGTATTGGAGCAAGGGTGGGGCCTTTCGAATCTCATTTTTTAATGGAGCCTAGCCCCGGCGAGAGCTCACGTGCTGCTGCTCCGGCCGAGGGTGCACTGAGTGTTTGACTGTGAGTACAGTGCTTCCATCGCTAGCCCCTCCTCCTGCCTCCTTCTTCCCCCTTTCTTCTCCAGATAGAGCGACTCGTGTTCCTGCAACTGATCCCCTCCCCCCCGGGGCAACAAGCCCTCCCACTGATCGGGGGGCTGCTGAATGGCATTTGCTGTTATTTCTGCGTGTGCGATGATGGAATCGCGACGCTGATGAGGGGAGGGGGACGAGTGGGGCTGGATAACGATTTAGCGTGGCCACTTTCATGAGCGAGAAGAATTGGGGTCGGATTAGAAGGCCGAGGCCAAGCCCACGTCATTAGATCGGGGCTTTGGGCTTGGGCTTGGGCTTGGGGTTATTAGCGGCTGTCCGTCCGGGTGGCCGGACTTGTCGTCTTGCGGATTTGTCGGTTTCCTGCGCGGTGGTTTATTTCTCTACCGAGTAGTCAATCCCCTCTCGTATTCGACACCCCGTCCTAGTCCATCCATCATCCGCCCCACCGGTCGCTGATCTCCATGTTCCGAGTGCTGCTGTCTTGTGGGAAGGGCGTCGTCGCCCCGCTCGACTCTTGTCTCTTGTGGCTCGGTGCCTGCTGAATCCGCCCACAAGCGCGCCTTCGGCTTGACCTGTCCGCCCCCCTTCCCCCTGCCCCACCCCCCTCCCTTTCTACCCCACCCCCAAGCCCCTTCCGCCCCCCCCACCCGCCTGCCTGCCTGCTTCGACGTGTTCCTGTGGCGCTAGTAGACGGGTGGCCGCTTGTCATCCTTGAGCTCCGCGCTAAGGGGCGTGGCGGGGTCGCGTATCTCAAGTCTGCGCACTCTGAGTCTGAGTCGAGCTCTCTCATCGAGCGACGAGAGAGCGGGGGAGAGAGAGAGAGAGAGAGAGAGAGAGAGAGTGAGGCCAACATCGCCAGGTTGAAGTTCGTCTGTCTGTAGTTGTGTCGAGCTCGGAGCTCGTATCCACTCTGGCCTGCCTGCCCGGAAAGGCGTCTGTCGGCTGCGTGTCGGTCGAGGTGCACGAGGAAGAGGATAGGCAGAAGATGTTTGTCCGTTTTTGAATCGAAAGCAGCGGCAGCAGCAGCAGTTCAGGAAGTTACTGGAAGAAAGCAGAACGATCGCCTCACAACGAATCAGTTCATTCGCTTCAGCTGCAGCTCAGTCAGTGAGGGTTGAGGTGATTTTTTTCCTCGTAGTGTCGAAATCGTTCGACCATGCGAATGCGCAGGGCCGCGAAACAGAGAGCCTCGATCGGCAGCCGGAGCGGCACCGATGTGGTGCGTGCGTCGAGCATCTGATCAGCTGGAGCTGGAGCCGGAGCGATTGCAATCACTTCCGCCGTCGTCTCTGTGTGGTCCTGGGACCTGGAGCTGCCCGACGTTCAATTCTCGCAGGACCTCTCGAGAGTAATCGGGACTCTCCCCACTGCACCACTCTCGGGCCGAGCAGGAGCCAAAGCACGATGGACGAACGAGGTTCTCCCTGAGCTCCCCCGAAGCGGAACGAGTGCGCAGTACATGCTCGGGAATCGTCACGAGGTGGAATCTGTAGATGTGGTAGTGGCTGCGTCTGCAGCCGGGAAAAATGAGCTTTCGGTGTCGAAGATGTAGCAATAACTCCATCGACGAGGGCACGAATGGCGTCCCTGGGAGATGAGTTGGGAATTACTCGGCCTCGTGACTACTGGCTGCAGGTGAGACAGCGAGCTGCCAGCAGCTGTGCGTCCGAGGGTGTGCAGCTATGTCCAGGTCGAAGGTGACATCGTTGGAAGTTCTATTCGCCTTCGGGGGCAATCGATCAATTCCTTACAGGAGCAATGTCTGCGCCTCATGACATGTGGAACTCACGAGCAGGTGGAGAGGCGAACGAGAGACTGGCATGGTAGTGAGGAGACGCAGGAATTGAGGCAAGCAGCAGCACGGCACGGGACGAGCAGCTGATCTGCAGCAGTCGGAGAGACGAGCCCCGCGAAAGGGCGCCATGGAGAGCTGCAGGAGGTGCCGGGGAGCGTGGTGGGGGGTGGCAATGATAGCCATCGCCATCGCGGTGGTGGCGGTGGGCGTCTCGGCGCAGCCGCAGCCGCTGCCGCGACCGGAGTCGCAGAACGAGACGCAGGCCATGCAGGCGCTGCGGCAGTCGCTGGAGATAGGCGACTCGTCGTGGCCGGCGCGCGCCGACCCGTGCACGAGCTGGGTGGGAGTGGCCTGCGACGACGGGCACGTCGTGAGCATCGCCATCTCGGGGCGCAACGTGACGATGGCTTCCGGCGCCCGCCACCCCGTGTTCGCCATGGACTCGCTCCTCGGCCTGCCGGCGCTCAAGCGCCTCACCGTCTCGGATTTCTCCGTGCCCGGCACGCTCCCGAGCTGGCTCGGCAATCTGAGCGCGCTTGAGAGCCTCGACTTCTCGAACTCGTCTGTCAATGGCAGCATCCCGCCCTCACTGGGGCAGCTCTCGCGTCTGCGCTCGCTCTCCCTGGCGCGCAACAGCCTCTCGGGAAACATCCCATGGGAGCTGAGCAATCTCTCAAGCATGCAGCTGCTGGACCTGTCGTCGAATATGATGAGCGGCACCATTCCTGCACCGCTGCTCAATTTGCCCGAGCTCCAAGTGCTCGATCTCTCGCACAACTATCTCTCAGGCCCAATTCCCGACAAGCTGACGGGCTTGGTCGGCTTGCGCCGGCTGATCCTGGCCTACAATTACTTCAGCGGCGCCATCCCCAGGCTGGGCAGCCTGCAGCTGCTGTCGGCCATCGACCTCTCGAGGAACAATCTGTCTGGCGCCGTCCCGGCCGCGCTCGGGAACCTCTCGCGCCTCGTCACGCTGGGGCTTAACGACAACCACCTGAACGGGACGGTGCCGCCGGAGCTGACGCTGTGTTCCGAGCTCGAGGCGCTTAATCTCGGGGGTAACCTGCTGACCGGGAACTTGCCCCTGTCGATGGGCTCGCTGCTGCAGCTTAAGCGCCTCAACCTGTCGATGAACGCGCTGACCGGCAGCATGCCCCCGGGCTGGGACAGTTTGGTGCTTCTGGAGCGCGTGGACCTGTCGCACAACCTGTTCTACGGGCCACTGCCCGCCGACCTCGCTCGTCTCCCGACGCTGGCCGTGCTGAACGTCTCGGACAACTTTTTCAACGAGTCGCTGCCCGCCGTGCTGCCCAAGGTCACGGTGACGAAGAAGAATTGCTTCGCGAACGCGACCCGGCAGCACACCGTGCGCGCCTGCGCGAAGTTCTACGCCGATCGCGGGGTTACCGTGCCGCGCGACCCGACGCCCTCGAGCGCGGAGCCGGCGCGGAACGCCACTGCCCCCACTGCGCCCAGCCAGGGAGGGCGCGAGTCGAGCAAAGAGAAGCACTTGGTGCCGTTGTTCGCCGGAATCGGCGGGGGGCTGGGCTTAATCATCCTCGTGGGGCTATTCGCTTTGTGCGTGCACAGGATCGAGCGTAAGGAGCGATCGCCCAGCGGGGGCAACCGCAGCGGAGGCCCCGCGGAGTCGGGATTCGGGTCCGGAGGCGCCGGCATCATCGTCAGTCGACTGGGCGAGGCCTTCAGCTACACGCAGCTGCAGCACGCGACGAAGAAATTCAGCGGCGCCAATCTCATCAGCCAGGGCCATTCGGGCGATCTGTACAAGGGGCTGCTCGACGGCGGCACCACCGTGGTCGTCAAGCGCATCGAGGCCTCGAAATTCCGCAAGGATTCCTACGTCCCCGAGCTCGAAGTCTACGGGCGAGCCTCGCACTCGCGCCTAGTCTCGCTCGTCGGCTACTGCCTGGAGCGCGAGGACGAGAAGCTGCTGGTTTACAAGTACATGCCCAATGGCGACTTGGCCTCCGCCCTGCACACCAAGGGCAGCCCTGGCCCCGGCGATGTTCTGCGATCGCTCGACTGGATCACCCGACTCAAGGTCGCCATCGGCGCTGCCGAAGCCCTCTCGTATCTGCACCATGACTCCCAGCCCCCTCTTGTGCATAGGTATTTATCCGCTCCTCGCCCCTGTCAGCTGGAAGATCGGCTTTTCGTCTTCGTGTTAGTCTCGAGAAATGTTCGTTAGCTCCTTTTTCATCATCCTTTGGCTGCTGCTATCTTCCTTAAGCGCCTTCGTTCTGTGAGTTGTGTGTGTGTTCGTGTGAGCGAGTGAGTCCTCGTGCGTTTGCGTGTGAGGGGCTTCGAGTACGTGCACGACTTTTGAATTGAGTGATTTACGGTGGACATTACGTGCGCGAGCTCGTAGCCTGTCTCGCGCTCGCGATCGTTCGCATGTCACTCACATTCAATCGGAATGTGAGTGACATGCACTTCGTACGACATCGAGTCGACCCCCTGAACATGCGGAGGACTGTCACAGATGTCAATTTCCAACCCGAGCGCGTCGTACACCGAATCCAGTTCCTACATTACGCGAAATCGGTCGATAGATGTCGCCCAATTTCGTCGATCAGAGCAGCATCAAGCTCGCTCGCTCGCTCGCGGATTTTATTGCTGAGCGTCGTGGTCGAGGGCATCGGAACGGAGCGGCCCCAATTTTGCCACCATGCAGGAATGCCACGAGATGGCGTGGAAGTCATGCACTAATTGGTCGTGTGTATGAGTGTGCAGGGACATCAAAGCGAGCAGCATTTTATTAGATGACAAGTTCGAGGTGAGGCTCGGGAGCCTGAGCGAGGTGCGATCGCAGGACGGGGATTCACATCCGGGCTTAATCCGTCGACTTCTCGGCCTGTCACAGTAAGCGCCGCCCATCCCCTCTCCGATCGCACGAGTAAATTAATTAGCGCCTTCATGTCTGAGCCTCCGCTTTTTGCTTTATCCGATTTGAATCCCGTGGCAGCCGTACGAGCTGCGGGGGTTGGGGTTGGGGTTGGGCTTACCGGGGGGGAATATTCACGCGGGGATTCGAGCGAAGTGGGTGCTAACGTAAATCGTCATGATTGTGCGTTTTTTGTCTCGGCAGATCCTCCGACCAGGGAATTCGTGACGCAGGTACAATTGCATCCCTCGACCTTTCCATTGAATGCGAATTCTCTGAGCTTTGATGCGTGCATTGAATGGTTTCCTCGTCCTATGACACCTTCCACATGAGCGCCACCCCACCCCGTCCCCCGTAACAGACCACCTACCTTGCCCCCAGGGCGTACGCGGACTCCCATCGTTACCCTTTAATGTCTGTCAGATCGGCGCCAGATCTGCCCCGCCATTAAATTCGCCCCGCAGTCGTTCGTTTATGGCGCAGCCTGTTCGTAGCAGTCAGTCTGAGCCTGAGTCTCGTCTGAGCGAGAGATGCCATGATTTCTCTAGATTTTATGGCGGCAGCTGATGGCGGGGGCCAATGCTCTGCAATCAGATCAACCGCCCCAATGCCTTCTGAATTGCGTCAAGCGTCTGGGAAGGACTTGCGCAGTCAATGTATCGAGATTGGTCGGTCGGGATGGATTATTGAAGCTAACGCTGGGGATGTGGATGTGTGTGGGTGGGGGATTGTGATGTTCAGGGCAAGCGGTGGCATCGTGTGCGCTCGACGTTTATAGCTATGGCAAGGTGCTGCTGGAGCTCGTGTCGGGGAAGCTGGGGATCAGCGGGGTGTCGGATCCGAGGACGGATGCGTGGCTGGACTGGGCGATGCCGCTGATCAACCCGCACGACAAGGAGTCGCTGCCGAAGCTCGTGGACCCGTCGCTCATAGTGGACGAGGATCTGCTGGAGGAGGTGTGGGCAGTAGCCATCATCGCCAAGGCCTGTCTCAATCCCAAGCCCCAGAAGCGGCCCAGCATGCGCCATGTGCTCAAGGCTCTCGAGAACCCGCACAAAGTCGTGCGCCAGGATTTCCAATTCAGCGACACGCTGGCCATGCGCACCTCGTCCCACAGTTCGTGGAACGAGGCGCTCTTCGGCAGCTGGAGGCACTCGTCCGTCATTCCGGGCACGCTGCGGGAGGAGTATCAGATGAAGGCCGGGGGCATCGGCGCCGGCAGTCGCGTCGAGTACCCCCAATCGCACACTCGTCGAGGATCCAGCGACATCGTCCCCGAGCCCATTTCGGAAAACGACTATCCTCGATCTCGTTGACCCCCGATCATTTCAGCTCAGCTCAGATCAGATCAGCTCAGCTCACAGCTCAGATTAGATCAGATCACATCGGATCGGATCACGTTCGAGGGATGCAGAGTAATGAACACATCGATCGATGCTCTCTAGAGACATCATCGTCCATCATCCGAACGATCGGCGACGGGCAAAATTGACTACAATTGTGAAGACATCAAGGCCGGGAGGACTGCATGGTTTGGTTTATTCATCAAGTTTTCACCACAGGCTCCCAGCCCGGGGGTTTGTACATTAGGTCAGGAAGAGAAAGGTTAGGAGCTTAAAGATGTGGCTAGTAGCAGCAGACACAGGCAGACCGACAGACAGACAGACAGAATTACAGGACAGACAGAAGCTGGAGGGGTGGAGGAAGGCAGGCAGGAAGGATTGGAAGTTAGGGGAAAGAGTGGGTGGGGGTGGGAGGGAGGGAGAGGGATATGGGGAGGTAGATAAGGATAGCGGCAGAGGAGATAAGGGTCTATCCATGTCGAAGGAGAGAGGAGAGATAGGAGAGAGAGATAGAGAGAGAGAGAGGAGAGGAGAGGTGTGTGAAGAGATAGACACAATTCTTTATTGGCGGACGCACCAACTTTGCTCCGATGTCGAAAGAGTCTCGAGGGACGGATGCACAAATGGATGAGCGGCACGTCCCATTTTTTAGTGATCAGAAACGAGGTCTTCAAACGTCAATCCAAATACTGTGTCCCATGTGCATAGCAGCATAACAATGTGCTCCGACTCGCTGTTGGTTTCAATATCGAAGTTTTACTACACTCGCCACGGATGCGAATTTGGATCTCCATCTCTTCTACATCAAGTTGTTATTGTTGTTGTTTCATCTCTCTGTGGGTTGCTTCTTCTTCTTCTTCTTCCTCCTCCCCCTCCTCCACCGTGTGAATGCAGCAGACATTACGTTGCACCATTGCCCACTCTCTTTCACTGCAAATGAATCGTTCTGTCTCTCACTCCCTACCCTCTTTACTGCATAATAGCAGCCGCCGTCGTCATGGGGTCTGGCAATTCTTTCTCTCTCTTTCTCTCTCTCTCTCTCTTTTCTTGTAATGTGTGCTCCTGGTGACTAACTCTGTAGCTTGGCACGGCTGCTGCTGCTTTCATGTTCATGGCCGTGAACGACATGGGTGAGCATTATCTTGCGTCTGGGTGCGCCATCAAGGCGACGTGTAGATTTGCGCTTTCTGCCAAGTCAAACTCTCTCTGTGCGTCGCATCTCTATAAATCACAGAATCAAATCTTCAGAGTCTTATGAACAGACGTAATGCTCGCGAAGCGCTTTAGGTTGGGACCCGGGCCTAATCCAGTCGGAGATGGAAAGTGCCCCCGAAAGCGAAGGCGGGTGACGGACCGGAGGACGTCTGGCGTGCCATGGCACAAGTGCACGGGAAGCTGTGCGAGCAGGAAAGGGCTCAACTCGGCGCACTCGCTTAGTTATGGTTAAAGCGGGGCTTGGAGGGAGCCGAACGATGAAGCAGCCACCCCCCAAGATGGAAGAGCTTTGAATGGAGGTGGGCTCAATAATTTGGACACAGATTCCCATGGGACTCGTCACTAAACTTCCCAACTGACACTTCACTGTCGTGAGGGTACATCAGTGATCACCGTCTTGAGCTGTGTGCCAGAGAAAATGCATGGTTGGTACAAATGTAATTGCCATTTTATTTCTGTGTAAGTGCCTACGCACCCACCAGGCTGTCGTAATAACCCTAGCCCGAGCTCTACTCAATGGCCGCTCATGAACATTTACTACGCTCTCCCCCTCTCGGATACGATCTCCCCTGCCCCTCACTTGCCCCGAAGCTTCCCCCATCTCTGACCCTCAATCGACTCCGTGCGGTGACTGCGCTGCAGTCCTCTCTCCCCAAACCCCCCACACCCCCAACCCCCAACCCCAATAAACCGGTGTTCGGATTGTCAGCAGCAACCCAAGCAAGCCCAAGCCCAAGCCCAACCCCCATCAGAATAAACCGGTGTTCGGATTGTCAGCAGCCCCAAGCCCAAGCCCCATCCATCTTAAGCACTTTCTGAGTCTAAACGGTTTGTGCTTATTTTAACTTTCTCGATTACGTCGGCGATTGCATAGCCCATGTAGCCTCTGCGTCCTGCCTCCTGCGCCTGATGTCTTTGTCCACCTCCGATTTGACTTCTACATGCTCGACAGAGTCGACACCGGTCTACCTTCCTGCTGCAAATGTAGGCCCCGTTGGGTGTGCTTCTCTGGAGAACTGGAGTACTAGAGTGCGGCTATGTTGCCGACCGAAGAGGCCTCGGGCTCAGGGTGCTACGTCGGGTCGTCTCGTAGCATGGAGGATCATGGAACATGACACTGCTGTCCTTTTAATCAGAGTATTCTGATACATCAGCTCACATGATCACTGGGGCTACGGTGGTGAATATCATACACACGTCCAACTAGTTGAGTCAGAACTCCTGGTGCTTGCTCGAATGGAGTCCATGAGTCTCTCTCCCCTTAACTCATGAACCTCTGCGTACTCTCGTCTCAGCTTCTAAAACTCTGGAATCTCTGTGTCCATACATGTAAGCGCGTTGCCAGGTCCCCGGGCTCGTGGAAGTTCCACGTCTGATTCCATCCAGGTTCTAGAGGTTTCATCATCCCCCACTTCACCCCCTACCGTGGTTAGCTAGCTGACGAGCTGATTGCCTCGACACATCGCGCTACTCGAACTCATCCATGTCTCCCATCCATCGGAAATCCGATGAGAACATGATTTTCCCCTCGTGGTTAGCTTCCTACCGCTACGCTAGGCCTCCAGCTCGATGAGCTTTCATCCATCATACACCCCAGCATATGGCTTCTCTGGCCGGTTGGTACGCATCCTCTAGCTTCAGAGATGTGAATATAATTTGATTAATCCATTTTCTATTCATATATTTGCCGGCTTTAGAAATGGCCTCTATCATTTGTTCATAGCCTCAGCAGCAGCAGCCTGAACATGCTCATCGATTCAAGTTGGAGCCTTCTGGTGTAGCCTCCAAAAGTGCATTATTATTTCCACGTCATGGTGACTTGCTGCATGTTCGCTGGCTGGCTGGCTAACGATCCTTTTGTTGGAAGGGAAAGTGCAGAAAGGAATTCCGAAGAGAGTGGCAGCGGAATTGACCGAGATCCATTCACGAGGAGATAGAGGGGCGATCCGGTGGTGGCAGCTGAGGTTCATGAAGGCGGTTGAGTTCTCGTCCATTTTGCTTTGTGGCCATCATATGTGAAATCTGCGCTACAAGTTGAGGCAGCTCGAGTTTTATTTCTTGCGCGTGCTGGCTCGCTTGCGGTCTCTGGTTCGGGCCAAAAGTGCATGCAATCCTCCTGGCGCTATTCGATTCTGGCTCCTAAGCATTCGAGTCTTGCATCCATTAGCAGGTCCAAAGGTATCAAAGCACCTTTGCTCCAAAAGGGATATTATGATTAGGCACAAAAGGTTCAAGTCAAAGTGCTAGCCAATAATTACTCTTTCCCTCCAGCTTATGCTACTGGTCGTGGTGGGATTAGCGCAAATCCCCAAGCCACCGCTTACTTTCTCGAGAGGACTTTTCCATATTCTCCTCTCTCTGCAGGAAAGGAAGAAAGCAAGACACGACATAGCGATTGCTCGCTCGCTCGATCTCAACATCCATTGAACCGAAATCGAGAACCTGAAGGGAAACTATGAACTCGTCCCTGCTCCCTTCCCCCTTGGTCACCCGCCAAGAATATGAACACGCAGCAGGCTCCGAAAGGAACGGATTCTCCACATAAAGGCTCAATCACTGAATTTAGCAGTCATGAGATTGGGCACTCGAGTGCTGAAATGCCTCTCGACGACATCATATCCGAACCCACAGCTGCTCATTATCTGATCTCTGGTGCTACATTACATTACCAGAGTTAAACCCTGCAGAGAGTTAGAGAGAGTGAGTGTCCGAGAAGATGAACCGTTGGATGGGATTGGAGGAAGTGAAACGACAAAACTAAGTCGTCGATGCTGCTGGGGGCTGCGGGGGGCTGCTCATTCTCGACGAGGTTCAGCGGTGAGAAGTGAACTGCAGGCTAGCGTAGGTAGGCAGAGGTCAATGTACCTCGCCTGCACTCTAGCTCCCTCCATAGCTCCACTAGTCAACCTGCAAGGGGTGCGCAAGTTCAGTGCACCGATCCACTCATTTTCAGATCTACCCACTGGAGGAAGGCCAGAGAGTTCACAGTACGCCCGTCGTCGTTGGCCTCGCCTTAAACGCAACAGCACTCTCAAGGCAGTTAGGTTCTCGGATCTCAAGGGGGAAACCTCTTCCATCGACAAGTCAAAAGCCCCATTCACCCACACAAATATAGCTACAGTACCTGGTCGACTAGCTGGGGAACCTGAGCTCTGGACGTACCTCGTGAGCTTCTGATCGTTCACTGATCTCCAGACACGAACTCTCCAGACTCCCCCCTCTCTCTCTGTAGTCGCCTTCGCCTTCTTCTCCTTCTCCTTCTCCTTCAGCGGCGAAGTGTATGCATTCGCCATCGTTGGGCTGGGCTCAGCCCAAGTCAGCTCAGCGCATGGCCAGCCGTCTCTCGCGCTCTCTCTCTACAGAGGAATCTGTCGAGCCAGTTATATCGCTTGTCTGGAACACTTACTTACTTGCTGGACTTTTCCATTGAATGATGCAGACAGCAGCACCTGATGCTTCACATGCGCCGCTCGAATTAAGCCTCGTGCTGCTTCCCGGGGCCTCCATCCGCCACTTCCGCCTCCCTTCAGCTCAGCGCCCATTTCCTTGTGAGGGACCGAGGACATGGAACCCCCTCCCCCTCCCCTCCCACTGCACTGCAAGCCGCCGAGTACGGTCACCCGTCTTCCTTCCCCCAGCCCCAGCCCCTCCCCCCTCCCCCTACCCCACCCCCCTTGGTCCCCCCATGGGGCTTCACATCCCACCGCCGGCTGAACGCCCGAACATCGGGGCCATCTCATGCCCAACGAGCAAGCCCTCGCGCAACGTCTATATAAAGGCCGGTTTTAATTGCGGCACCGGTTTTCTTCGGTGGGGCAGTAAGGACCGGTTTCCGCGACTCTCTGGGACCGGCCTTGCTGCCAGGTCACTGTTGGGGGGGGTGGGGGGGAAGAGGGTGGGGCTGGGGATGGGGTAGGAGGGGAGGGGGGCTGGGCCTGTTCTTTAGGGCCGTGTGCTTGTGGTGCTTGCGGTGGACTATCGTCCTTCGGATCCGCGACTTGTGGATGGATGAGGCTCCGGGCTCTGGCTCAGATGCACCGAGTCGGACGAGGGCCACCTCGAGAGGCCTTGTGCAACTGCGCCCTTTGTCTGCATGATTTCATTGTGGCTTAAAAAAAGCTGCCCCCTCTCCGTATTCAGTTTATTTTAGTCTTTTTCCACGCGGTTTTATCAATACTGGGGACTTCTATTTAAATAGTTTTATTTTAATTATTGTCGTCATCACTGCTCGTAATATAGTCTATGCAGGCGCTATGAAGTTGTTCCCTTGTAATTATACGGAGCGTTGGATCTGCTGATAGAGTAGGTTAGTGTATATAATATTATTAAAAATCAAAAACTGTGTTATCAGAAGGTTACAATGAAAAGATTATACATTTGTCTGACTTCCGAGAGTAAATGAAGGTTATACAATTATATCAACTTTGAAAGATCACGGTATTATAAGTCTCCATGAACTTATTATAAAAAATTGCTTAATATTTCATATTAAAATTGCTTAAAATACTTCTTTGAAATGAATCTGGGTGTGGCATAGAAGCACGTCATAGATTTACAAAGCTGC